CCTCTCAAGGGCAAGATGGATCGATTAGGTTAGAATTGGATATGCGCTCCTGACTGGTGGCCACTCTCTGCTACTATCATTTTATGGTACTGTTGAAGCCCTCGTTCGGATCACCTTTTGTTGGCCGCATTGCTTATCGAGCCGGATATTGACACGATGAAGTATGTAAGAATCCCGCTGTTGGTAAGCATTTTTTGGAGTATTTGATATGAGTTAGTATTGACTTCGAGCAAAGCGAACGGAACTCACGAAGACAGACGTTTGCTGCTCTACGAAAACCATAACTCGGAATATTAATCATTGGGCTTAAAATTTTTAAACAACTTTTGTCTGAGATTTTTGTCATGCACTTGGAAATCGGTTATTTTGGCCGAACTAGTTTATCAAATTGATGATTATTCGTCCAATCTGTTCGTAGGTCATTAGTTTAAAAGAAACGCCATTGTTTTTTATTTTACTGTTGGTGTTTGTTGTTCCGTGAAACGACCTAATGTAAATAAACGTTGAAAATGACTCATATTATGGTTTCTACTCGGATCTGGGTGCAGTCGTATCAGGTGTATAATCGAGATCCGCTATGACTAATAAATAGTTTATATGCACCGTATTCGGTGTACGGAAATATATACCATGCGTACCGTATGTCCAAGGAGGGCCCCATTAATGTGATTTTCTTATAGTTCCTAAAGCAATCCCTTGCAAAGCCATCGAAAGCTATCTAAAATCAATCAAGGCCGTCGCATGAAAGAAATACGCGGCGACAAAACGGACATTTTGATAGAAAGTTGCTATGGATTTTCCCGTCTGCCTATATCCTCAATGGACGAGAACAATATGACAAAACAAATGATCTGCTTACTATGTTATACCATATAATCATTTTTCTTCAGAAATTCAATTTAAATTTCTTGCCATCTTATCGCGTATCGTTTGGCTATTGTTCTCCTATTTTTTTTTTTTTTTTTTTTCGTCTTTATATACATTTTCTCCTTGCGTACTAAACTGAACAAAAAACTCGACGATTAAACGACGCATACGTGAACGCCGGCATCGACGCACGCCAGCTAGCGCGAATTTGATATTTCATTTGATATGGTCAGAGTGTAGCGCCATCATAGACTATTACCTTTACCTCCACTATATTATACTACCGCCTCTGCTGATGTCCACATCTATGCATCTATGACTGCACGCGTGTGTCAAAAGAAAAATAACCTTTTCCAACGGCAATGGCTCGCCGCTTCAGTCAGCTATAGTTTGTAGGCTACCTAGAAAAATCCGTTGCCACTAGCGCCGTCGCCGTCGCCGTCGCCGGCGGTGGACAAAAGTCAATCGCAAAACGAAAAAAAAAGTCCCTTATGGATTCGCTTAATGTCGCTTGCATATCAACTTATAGTAACTTATCTGTTATGTATGCGCAGGCAGGATTCGGTGGGGCGATATCATGTCACCGACGGTTCGTCTTCATTCTTTCTCATCCATATGTACTGCACGATACCATCATAGAAGGCGATGTTTATGCCTTACGGGGATTGTCCATCCATCTGAGCATGTGGATCTCGCTCCTTGTCTCCATCGGTTTGCTACATATGGATCTGTTCAGCAGACCCGAGCGGGTAGATCGCTGCCGCCACCGCCACCACCGCCACCGCCATCGTTGTAGACACCTGCGGTGCGCGAAGACGCTCCTTCGCGGAGCAGAAGAAGACGAAATGCGGGCTACGATCGATGGGGGCAGTTAATATGCACAAAAGCGAACGGAAAAAGAAGGATATCGAGAGAAACGGGGGGAAGCTAGAGCGAAAAGCGTCATGATTCATGTTGCGGTTGTTGTTGTTGTTAAGTTGTGTCGCACTTTTTTGCGTGTTGAGCGGTTACAGCTACGGAGTAGAGCAGGTGCCCGCGACGTTGTGCTGGGACCGCCTGGGCCGGTGGAGGTCGCCACGAAAGGATGTTGGACAACGGGAATAGAAAACGACTTATGGGATGGGTTATTAAATTAGAAGACACAAAATATGACAACAAGCAACTGTTTGTTTTGAGAGGTGCAAATCACGGCTAAGAACTGATTTTAAAGGGGTCGTTGCGCCTGAATGGTGTTCTCGTCGTCCTTTAAGTGCCTATTTGGGTTCGTGTGGCGAACAATGTGTTCAATTTATGCTTAAATTGAAAATATGTGTTGTTTATAACGTATGTTCGTTTAAAACAACTAAAATGCTTACAAACCTGATGGCACAAATAGGCGTTAGTACTGCGAAGCCGTTCCAGGCCTTCTTTTCCATAAGGAACCATGTTAAGGCGATCTTGTTTGCTGCCTGCCCTCTGCTGATAAAACGAATGGCTTTCGTTGTTGATTACTTACTTAAGCGCGAGCCACACCACATCAAAGAAAGCAATTTTTTTACTTCAATTTGTCATTGTATAATCGATCAACTTCTAAATGATGTATTACTTTGCCCTCTGAACGTAATCACCTACCTTCGCACCAGTCGACTCACGGCACCGTAATGATAATGCCATTAGCAACATTGCATTAAAACCAAACTGTAGAAGTTTTTTTTACACGGATTCAATCACAGGTTCAAACAATGCTCACACAAAATATCAGAGAAGGAAAGCGACGACGAGCTACAATAAAACGTTGATCTAAATTAGTACACACTTATTGTTTGGGTCATTCGGGCTATATGTGATGATTATAGCGAATGGATATACCTTCTAGCTTTGATTGTTTAGCCGGCTCATTTTCCAGGACAGAGTCAGCCTCCTGGAACGACGAAATTTGGACGGAGCGAAGCCACGCTATAAGAGCCTACGGCGATTGCAACGGCAGCGGACGCGTAAACGCCGAAAGAAAGTGTTCAAGTTGATTTTTTTTTTATTTTTCCACTTCGCTCTCTTCATCGAAGCGATGAGGCTTATTATCGGCTCGCTCGCCTACCCCGCCCCCCGCCCGCATTGGAGCCAATGCTGCCCCCTCACAGAATGTTGTTACAAAGTCTCATCCAAGCAGACATTTATTTGCTAGTCTATAGCTGTTGGCTGCTGGCATTGTTGCTCTTTCAAGCTATGCCACCTCACTTGAACCAACAAAAACAATGATGTTAAACATATATCTGTGAATGTTGATTATACGTAGCTTCTCTGATACCTGTTCGAACAAGAAAAAATAACGCTAAGTAAGATAGAACTTCCGTTCGGCGGCGTCCAATGTTTCATGGACGAGAACAACGTCGAAAACGTTCGTACGACGACCGATAGGAACGTGAAATCGGTTGCACGGGCTAAGTATACATCTTGTCAATTGGCCCTTAATCAGGACCACCTATATTGATAATGGCTTGTTAGCTCTATGCGGCCAACCATTTATTTCTTAACTACATCGAAACACGTCATCTGACAGTTGTTAAAAGTGTAGATCAATAATGAAAAAACAGCGTGCAATAGCGCAAATCAAAATAGTAATATTAAAATAAACGCGATAACGGACAACTAACTATCTGGGAGCGGCAATTTCAGCTCAAAGGTCAAATAAAACCTAAAAAATATACTCATATATACTGAATATCATAGTAAATAGTAGAGATGTATAGTAATGAAAATTTACCTTAACATAAATACTCAAAATTGTGATTTTTTAAGTAGCAGTATAACCAAATCTGGCTGCCGTTTGCCAAATTCTTCGCTCTCCACCAAAGTGCTTTAATCAATGATGCATGGTAATTTTGAGATGTGTTTTTTTTTGTATTAAAAAAAAACTAATTCTTTTATTATAAACACAAACGTATCGCCCACTCGTTCAAATAGGTAAACACTTCGATTATTGGCTCTATCTATTGTGTATCGATCTCTGGCTAGAAGCGACCAGCGGGTCGCTGCTTTAAGTCCAGCCGACGACACAAATGCTACTCAATTTTGGTGGATAAAAACATTAATTTATATGATATGAGTACACTGGATTTCACGATTTCGCTGCTAAATGTAAAAATCTATATTAGCGTTGGTCCCTGTTTTGGTTATTCTCCTAAGTCCTGCACTGTTAGATATGACCCACACGCTCTTTTCCGGGACAACTATGTCGACGCGTGTTCCTTGTCAGAGCTGACTGGACCACTAAGTTGAACTTCACTTGTAATATCTTCACCACTGGCGCTTTTTTTCGTCGTAGAGATTCCATGCGCCACGAAACGACTGAAGTTTACATTCGGTATATAAATGTATATGTAGATAAATCGATGACCATATCATATGCGCGAAGAGTAAGGTTTATCCGGAGATAAAAGCCATGGTATTTAGTAAGAAGTAAGTTTGCTTCGACCGTCGTTTTGTACTGACTAGTCAATGCGCTAATTTAGCATCCTGTATAATGATACAATGTACTTAATTAAAGTACTCTCCAGTAAACTGGTTTCCTATATTTAGCATAAATAAAATCATGAAGTTCGCGATCGAAAGAGGAAAATGTCATATTCCATTTTCTAGTACATAAACTGATCTTTAGCGGTTATGCCTAAAAAGGAATGGAACCTTTAATTTCAGCGTTTGAAAATGAATTTTAAATTTGACTTAATAATATGTTGTACGCCTTTGGATGTTTGAATAACAAATTGCATTGTATAGTATTACTGGTTTTGGACATTGTTTAGGCTCTTTGCGCTAAGTGACGCAAGTTCGCTCTGCAGACAAATGTCAAAACCTTGAAACGGCTTTTACTCATTCTGATATGTGTAGAACCTGCCAAGCGGATCTTCTATATTTACCTTAAATGCTTTGAGTTCTAAGTCCGACATTGCCGTGGGGCATTGGTTTGTAATACTAGCTGCTCTTTACTGCACAAAACGAGATGCGTTTACGCGCGACCTCAAACCTAGACCGTCTCATCACGTGTTTCCAAGTTCAGTAGATAGATACATTATCGCTGCAACATCTACGGAATGCACCATACGAACAGATCTTTTGAGTTCTAACTAGCTTGTCATCTAGTATTCATCCAAACTTACCCCTTTCTTCGGCACACAGTTCTTCCTGCTGGCGTTGTTTTGTATCTTGTAATTCAAGTGTGTGGTAAAATATTTTGTCGATGATGTAATAATCCACAGATAGAGTCACTCGTTTTAGTCACAATCTTACATTTTTCAATTCAACTTTACACGTCATAGATGGCATTCTTTGTCCTCTGGAGGCGATAATTACTGTGCGTGAGATCTTCAATTAGGTCAGAGCTTGACAACCTTTTCCCTAGACCACCATCACTCCTCAAGTTCTAGGTGTACTTTAAACTAACTCTTTGACCTTTGCTATATATTGCTCACGAACGTTCAATGACCTCCGGCGACTGCGAACTTCAACACTACGAACAAACACGTCCGTTCTTCAATGGTGGTCCGAACCAGCGCCCAACCCTTCTCGGAGCCCTTTGCAGACCGCACTCGACTATAATATTTTGCCCCCTTTATTTTTCTTCGTTTCAAACGCACTTCGTCTTCAGACTCGAACAGAACACGCACCCTGATCGAAACACACTTTGCATCCTCATCCTCTTCTTCGGCCAAGCTTCACAATATCGTTATGACAACATACAGATATATCGATCACTTTCGCTTTAAACTCACCGGATAATAATCATCATCAGTTCGTTTTATACTGAAGTTTCACGACGGCCAGTTAAGGACCAGTTGGCCAGTCTTTCTGCCTGTCCGTTGTCGGTTGTTGATGTCAGTGTCATACTACTGTTGACTCCTGTGACGCTGTGCGCGAGTATCTTCTTGCGTCCGGGTCGGTTTCTCTCTTGCTCTGTGGGTGAAGCAACGCGACAGTGATGGAGACTCGACCATGTGCTGCTTAGCCGGCGGGTCCCGTTATTCGCTGGCGGCTGCTGCTGGAACCGCCGCTGCTACTGCGTTCCAACCCTCACCCCTTCCAGCGGCCGCACGCGTCTCCCCAAAAGTCCACGCGGCGGTGAGTGGCACCAACTTCGCCATCGCCAGCAGCACCGGCTGCCATGATGTTCCACCACAGATTCATGTGTGAGGCCATCGTTTCGTCCCATAATACCCCATGTCAATGTGAGGGACCAGCGATCCGGACGGGATAGGTCGAAATCTACCACTTTATTCGGTCCACCGATAGACTCATCGTAACGAGAATGGAATAGAGAAATAGAGAGGAAAAGGGGACGCAGAAAGAGGTTTACTAGCTGGAAGCTTTTCGAGTATTTGCAAATAGTAAAGATTATAGAAGTGCCTGGAAGTAGTTCAAGCCGGCGGATTAGGTCATAGAGGAACAAGATTTTTGTAAGTGTGGACCTTATAGTACGAAGCAAATAATACACAGATAACACACGGTAGATCCGCAGACAAAAAATACTGCTGTAGTTTTTGATCTATGCGGAATGGTCAAATTTTAGAAACCTACCCGTATTTCCGTGCTAGGTACTCTAGCAACAAATGAATTGATAAAATATCGATGCTTGATTGTCTAAAATATAGTAACTATACGATACCCATTGTAGTAGTCTTTATAAGCAGAGTACTTGCGTATTGTAATATGTACAATAAATTGTATATA